CGTCAGGTCAGCCAGGCTGGTGGGGTTTGATGTTTGGGGATGCTGATGCCGCCGTGGTTTTCCCTTTAGTGCCTGTTTTGCTTATCAGCCTCGCTGGAGCTGTGCTGGCTTCCCCTGATCTCCAAAAATCCTCTTGGGTTTCTCCCACCTGAGACGTGCACGGTGTCTGCGTTGAACACGAGTGGGGCAGAGTGATGTCACCCATGACCGTGGCCTCGAACAGGGCCCTTCCCGCCGGGACCGTGCTCCAGAGAGGCAGCACGCAGCCCTTGCCCCTCGTCTTGTCGGGGGAATGAGGTGCTGTCGGCAGCGTGGCAGGGCTGGGATCAGATTGTGAGCGTGCCTCGTGTCCCTCGGGGGTGCGGGGACTGCAGTCACCCTTGGCTTGTCCTGTGGATCAAGATCTGCCCCTGAGCTTGCTCAGGTCACGCTCTGGGCCAGTATGCAGTCAGAGGAGATGCTCAGGCTGTGTCAGAGCCACTTCTAGGTACAAGCACTGTGGTCCAGGGGTGATGTGAAGATGGAGATAACGTTACCCAGGCTCCTTTCTGTCATCTGCAGCTGTCTGGCAGCTCCTGATGCTTGTTCCCCATTCTGGCAGGTATTTTAAAATTTCCCATGCGGGCAGTATAAAGGGTAACTGCTGAAAGAAACAGCCCAGCCAGCGTAACTGTTAAGTGTGGCTTTATTTGTGTTGTGCTCTGCAAATCTGGTATTGTTTAGGTGTCTGATCCTTCCAGCTGTAGGGAGTGAGGGGGCAAAGTGGGGGATGAGCACAGGCCATGAAGGGTGCTCCTGGCAGCAGGAGACAGGGCCAGAGGGGACTCGGACCTGGCAGCTTCATCCTGACCCAGCATCAGCCTCTCGGGGCCAGCCTGCATGTGTGCACCCCTGTGCAGTAGCCCTGTAAATGAAGTAATCGTTAAAGGGCAGAGGAATGTAGCTTATAATGGAGTGTTGCTGACAGCAGTGGAATGACAAAAACTTCCTCATGAATTTTCCTGGGCAACGCATCTCAGGAGGGGTGGTTGTGAATTGTATGTTTTAAGCAATGAAAACCATACTAAAAAAAGCACTGAAGGGACTAATTCTGCATGGCTAGAAGGGATAGATTCTTCTGAAATCTTCCAAGTAAAACCTCGTCTGCAAGAACTGGCCAGCTCAGTATGATGGGCACCACTACCTGAGTATTTGATACTAGGGGAAGAAAATCTATGGTGTTTCATACCAGGATAGGAACAACTGGCACTGCCTAGGAACAGCAATGTTCTGGGTCAAAAGCATGGCAGACCATGGCAGTAGTTAGCTGGGAACTTCAAAGTGCCATGCAAGGGAGGTGATGCCATTCAACAGATGCTCGTCTTCATTCTGAGTCAGGTCCCAGGTTTGCCGAGGTGCTGACAGTACACACTCAGTGAAAAGATGAAGGACAGTGTCTTCCCTTCTGCTGACTCAGAGGATGTTCTGCCAGGTGTAAGGTCTTCCACCAGCACAACCTGAATTTCAAAATGTAGCACCGTGGCTGGTGTTGCACCTAAAAGGAAGGAAAGCCTTACACCATGGGGGGTTGAAGTTTGGCAGAGAAACTGGAGGTGTACATGGACACCAGCAAAAGCTACTAATGTGAGAAAGGCATTAGCTGTGTTTACCTTTTCCTTATCTTGGGGACAATGGAGAAATTTGTCCCCCTTTCCTTTTGCAGTGTCATAACCCAGGTCATATTTTTGCTGGTGAAAATCTAATGGCTAAAGGAAGAGAAGGTTTTCCACTCTTTTCAGGAAAGAAGTGCTATGTCCTTGG